TGAAATATGGAAGACAGTTAAAGGCGTTCATTTACTGATAAAATCTCTCTAATATGGAAAAGTGCACAGGCAATTTTGATGTTGACTCTATGTCGTACATTCCTTTTAATAAAATGTTCCACCATTCAAATTAACCAGAAAAGCTATTTAACCTCAGATTTTATCTCCGTTGGATCACGAAATGGAGTGAGTGGTCTCCGTGGAATCATTAAAGACAGGCGAGGCCGTGCTTGCACATCCTCAACTGGATTTCGTTTCCTGTGTGGTTTAATTTGTTTTCTGATTCAATGTTCATGAGTTTTTAAACAGCCTCGAACAATGCGTAGTTGTATTTTAGAAAGAGGATTGAGAAAAATTATCTACCAAAAGTACGACCCCTACACCACCTACTTTGCAAGACAGTATTATCTCAGTGAAAGTCTTTTGTCGTCAATATATTTACCAACGGTCAAACAGTAACTCGCTTGCTCGTACTCAGAGACGAGGGATGTTTCTCGCTAAATAAAAAGCAGTCCTGTTTGATGTAAAAAGCGCTAACGGTGAACTTGTACACCTTGTGGTAACGTTTTGCACACTAACACAGTTTTATTTTGATATCTCATTCTATTTATATGTAGAATGGAAAGAGTGTCAACGACCAAAAAAAAGTGCATGTGTTAGTGATTTGTAACGTCTGTTTCCTAATTGAGTTTCTTCCTACCATGAAACTTCTGTTTATCCTCTTAGTTAAACTCAAGCCATTCGAGGTCACTCTAAGCTCAAAACAAAATAGTTTTTTGGGATAATGACTGATTTATGAAGAAGTTTGGGCTATGGAATTTTGCAGATTCCTCTTATTTGTGAACATAAAAGATAACAAATTGACCTCGCGCTAAGAGCTAATTACTTTCCCACGTTTTACGTGACCCAACCTCCACATTTCTGTCATTAAGATTAAAATAAGATTTCGCATTTCCTTGTTCCCTGATCATATCATTTCAGTGAAGGTATTCAAGTTTCTAATCCGAACTGAAAGTTATTCAAGGCAATTTCCTCTGTAGATCACTCTGTCCTTTTGATCTACACGTACAAGATTAACTGAATGTCTGTTGTCTGACTTCTTGCACAGTGGTGACCCTGTGATTCTTGGAATCTGACACTGATCAATGGAGCAATATTTTTATTCATTTCTTGAGACATAAGAAACACCAAACAACTTTTTTTTATCTTGAGGAAGAACATTACTAAAATATTGGTTTCATAAAACAGAAAAATACAATGATAATGTACAAAAAGAAAACAAAGAGAGCTAAGAATGCCGCCGAAATCCACTGACACTTAAGGGCAGGGCGCCATGACAATGTCACTGCATGAAATAAGTAAAATCGCCCCAAAAAACCGTAAGATGTTAGACACTGTCAAAGATATAGGAAAAGAATTATAACCTGCACCTCTTCCCCACGATGCAAAAGTTTGTGAAATTTAACGACGTGGCAGAATCATATATTTTAATCGTTAGATTACAACATACTTTTACCAATTTCATGGTGCTCTCTCCCGATGACCAACTTGAAAGATTTAGGCAAAACATTTCTAAGATTCACACTTTCTGAAAAGTTGTGACCAGCCTATTTAAAATTGTGGCCAGAAATGTACGAAAAAGAAGCCTTAGGTAAAACGCGGGATCTCTCGTCAGTCAAGAAGCTATTTTCGCCGGTGTTTTAAAGTCTGTTAATGGGACTTCACTGAAGCTAACTCAAACAAAAGGAAAGAGGTGATATCTTTTTCGCAAGATCTCGCGAGAAGTTGAAAGGTCAACTGCGGAAATTTATACACCGTGCTTTACAAAATACCACATCAGGCAAACAAAATTTTTAATATCTATCACATTATATGTTTACCACATCAAAAATTTCAAACCACTCAAATCAGTATCATAACGTCTATAAAGATAAAGAGCTTATTGCGAAATTCACGTAACTCTGATTCTGATCGATGTAAACTGTAGACGTGAATTTCTGCAAATTTAAAAATAGCGTATAACTCCTGAATTTTTTTAGAACAGCTTGAACGGTCAAGGAGGGCATCAACATGATTTATGTAGAAAAATTTTGTACTTGCAAGGGCGAACGTTGAGTCACTTAACTTGTAGTGATACCTGCAAAACCGATCCGACCCTATTGATGCACCTACACTGAGGAACAACGCTGAGAGGTAAGGAAATCTTTGGAAAGAAAGGAATAGCCTGTATGTGAATGGGATACATGTTGATAATAAACAGATAAAATTTAATCTCACTCTACAATACACCAGTAGGCTCCTCTGTGATTCGGTAAACATGGCTCAAGGTTAGGCGTGTTTGTGCGTCGGCTCATTCGGGAAATCTTTATATCAGATCATTGTGATAATCCACTCGGTTTTTCAGTCCTGTAGGGCGTGTGGGTAATTTTAACTCGTCCGACAAATGTCCGAGACTGCGCTTCAGAGATTTTGTTACAGGTTCAAGTGGAATTATTGTATCGGTGAAGTCTGCCTTTTTCCTTTATAAAAGGTTTATGCCACACATTTCCTCCGAGACAACTTGTCGGCGAGAGTTGAAACTAAACAGTTCCCCTATTTTCTCATTTAGTGTATCAAAATTGCATTCCGGTGAAATCAGTATTCAAATACCACACATAGGAATCGCCCTAAAGCTGAAAGCTAATATCATTTCAACTAAATGCTGCCGTTTTTGACTAAGGAGGCAAGAATGGGGATTAAGAGGAATTAAGATAAACCTGAGAGAGAAAAGAGGATTAACTTAATAAGTACACTTAAAAATTAGAGTCAATTAGCGTTAAAAGGAAACCGAAAACGGACCTATTTAAAACTGGAGAGACTCTCATCCAGGCTACCCAAAGGATCGTCAGTCTGTACTTCCTAGCATAGGTGATTCAGATAATATTCGGGTGAAATACGTCAAGTACTTTTCTGCCTTGAAACTTGCTGTTTACTAAATAGCTTGCGTCAATCAGTCCAAATCAAGAGAAAATGGGGCCATGTTCAAGTATATTCTTTTACTGACAAAAGCCCAAACGATACAAGAAACAGACTAGAAAAGCGCTGCTCTCAATTTAGAGTGGCGTGGGAACCGAAATTTGAAACTTGGATTTAGTGTGAAACATAAACCTTTTTGAATGGCCAGCAATGAAAAAGGATGGAATTTGTATGAAGCATTTATCATAGTTTGGGCGACGCTGCTTCCTTTGATTAGCTGTATTTGTTTATTGTATTTATCTGTTTATTATCGGCTTTGATGTATCCAAAGTGTCATACCATTTGTTTTTCTTGTTAGAATGATAATAGACATAATTGGGACGGTTGGTCGTTAAAAAAAGAGCAAAAGACGGGGCCAGATTACCTTGTTTTAACGACACCGGAAATCGGCCTTCGGTTAGAGGCGCAACCGAACAAACTGTTTGAAAAACCCGACACAGTACTAGAAGAAGTGTATGAGAAGAAACTTCAGATTAAAATCACCCTTGTAACCTAGTCCCAAAGAAAGATAGCACTCACGCGTGTGGCGGGAAAAAGCGCGAGGAAATGAAATCTGTTGTAGTTATTGACACTAATGAAAAAAGGGTAAATTTTGAAGATAAAGTCGTTAACTGCTGATAAACTGAATTGTAGAATCTTCACTTCTTCACCTGGCTGAGGCTGACTGTACCTCAGTTTAGCACGAGTGCATTGACAATTAAGAGGAGATTGACCAGTGCGAGCATAGGCATTCTAAATTAGGACAGATAATCAGAACAAACTCAGTAAAAATACCCACACTGTTACTAGTGTGGTAGAAACATCTTCGAAGAATTAGAAAAACACCGTGATTTATTATTGGTATAGATGTCTTTCCTATCTTCTACAAAATACAAACCATTCCGATGTTTATTACACTGTTCAATCAACGGTTCTGCCTTTATGTTGTGTAGGCTTCTGCTGGTGCACAAGGAACTCAGCTCGAACAGCTGTGAAAACAGTTGCTATCGTTATCGCGAAATTTCCTTACTCAGCTTCTTCTTAATTTATAGCTGATAATGAACTGATAATTTTCGAAAAAAGAAAATTGAGTAAAGGACAGTTGAGTTTTAGATGACACCAGCCACAGCTGGTGTTTCTATGAACTTACAGTATGATACAGAGGTAATTATCAGATGTCTCTTTGCATGACTGCATGAAATGCCTTTGCTATTCGTCGTGGTACAAAGACGATACCAAAAAAAAAGAGCTTTTTAGTTTCCCGATATACATGGACCACAAAATTCTCACAGCCAACGTCAAAAGGAGTGTAAGCAAGCAGGAGTCCATTACCATTGAAGCAAGTCATTGGAGGGGACGAAAAGGTGGGAGCCAAGGAACATGAACCTGACAACTGTTATCTTGACCTAACACCAAATTCTTGTGACTCATTTACAAGGAAATGTGTAATAGCTACAGAGGAGAACTGACAATCAGATCTTGGGAGTTAAAGGGTTAAAAGTAATAATAAAGGAGGCAAGACATACAATTTTTGCCGGATAAGAAGGTGAAAGGGTTTTCCACAAGGCTCCCTGGGATTTCAGGGGTTTATCCCTGATTAAAAGGTAGCTTTTCTATCTTTTACATATGATCTGAATTCCAGGCTTGCTGGACATAAAAAATATTAAAACTAACAAAGAGTGACACTATCGACATGAAATATCCAACTTAAGAATAAGCTCTTGATTTTGGAAATGGTGGAGATTGGCACATCACGAGTTTTGCGCCACCAGAAATGACAATGAAGACAATTGAATTTCATCGCTTTTGATACTATACGGGTTCGTTTAATGTTGTGAAAATCTTTAAAAATTTCTTTAGAGTGTTTAATCAAACTAGCGCTCTGGTCATACAAGGGAGAGTTAAGAAAGGATCTCTTGTTTTACCATAATGTTCGTCAGAATAAAGAAGTGGTTGGAATGGGAGTTTAGACTGAGTAAAATCATTCTAGCCCTAGATTGTTCGTATCATAAGTCCGTGAAATAAAGATTTGGAAGTGAGGTAACAGAAAAATTGTCCGGTGGGTCATTCTTTTGAAACAGAGAGAACTGATCGGCTTCCCGTTTTATTTTTAAATCCCAGAACTCTCTCAGAACATCTGAAGTCTGTCTCCGAAGGTTAATTTCGTCCTCCTCTAGTTGTCTGTAAAGGAAAAAAGTTGCCGCGCTTTATGCTTTTGTAACGACTCAGTGATAAATTATCTCGAGGGATTGTTATGAGACAAAACATTGTGAAATGCTCTTTGTGTGACACTCAAATAAAAGGCCTTCAACTAGAGAAAAGAATGGAACGAGTTTTCTTACGTACTTTGATCGATCTTTCTTACTTAGACTATTCTAGGAAAGCAGACCTAATAGTTCTCTTCCAGTAGAACCAACCCACCACTGCTCCGACAAAAGGTGTTTGAAGACCCAGTCGTTTGTTTTTCCTCATCAATCTGACCAAACTCTCGCTAGGACCACAAGCCATTTTTTGTATTCCCTTCTGACGTTATTACCCCGTGTATCTGACTAACATTCAACAATTATTCGCCTCAGGCTCATTGAATATTGTTGAATAATCACTTCGACTTCGTCTCGGGGATTATTCAACAATATTCACTGACCCTGAGGTGAATAATTGTTTTAGTATAATTGCTAAGGTGCTTCGAATTCTGTTGTGAATTCGTTTTGTTGTTTGAACCATTCTTTTACAATTGTTTTGTTTACTCGTATTGAGATAAGCAGCCAGTCTCTCAATTTAACAGGTTTATTGAAAGCAGTGAGCAAAAACTTCATAACTTTCTTTTGGAAAGTGTTAGGCCAAACGTAGTAGCATCGTTTGTGCTCATCAGTATTGAATTTTCCTCCATCACGTTTATCCCTTCCCCGGTGACACTGACAAAACGCAAGGCAACCATTGTGAAATTTAACGCCCCTGCTAGATTCACCTCGCGCGAGGCGATTAGAGCGCGATTTAGCCTGATATGACGCAATTCTCGACCACTCAGGGCTCGCGCTTCTTTATAATCACCGGCCCAGTTGTTCGGAGGACGATTGGCGCTAACCCAGGGTTAATCTTTAATCTGGGTTTCTTTATTTCTTTCTTCAAAAACCTTTTCAGATAATTTCCTCTATTATTTTTGGAGCATCCAAGCATTAAATTGTAGACAAAAATAATTTCAATGAATATTCTTTTAAGGCTTCAGATCTGAAACTAGATTTCACACTAACCCTGGGATATCTTAACCCAGCTTTGAACAACGCGGCCCGGAGTAATTATACTAATAGTACTATAAGGGCACCACTACCAACTGAGTTACGCCGGAAACCTAGTACTTGGGAGTATCTAGTAACTGCATTGGGATGCACGTTTTTGAATGCCGTCGAAGCCTGGATTTCTCAGGCTTCTTTTCTGTAATTTCGTTGATTGCAAATCACCTGTAATGATCATCTCTTTAATAGTACTTATATTTTATCCGCAGGCCAAAATAATACTAATTTCATCTTAATTGGGATGATTGACAGACTTACTGGGCTACAATGCAAATAAAATAATCCGATAGCCCATTAGTAGGAGCTTTTATCTCCCCTGATTTGAAAAAAAAAAAGGAAAAAAAAAAGCGAGTGTTGATCAAACGTTGTCCTCACTGCACCAAACTCTTTATCATATGTTTTTTTCAGTTCTCTTCTAAGCATCTATTTTTGGGTGTCCCGGTCTTATCGATCCATGTGCTTCGATAAATATTTATACTCAAAAATGCTGAACATGTTGAAATATTCCCCAGAAAACAGGTAGCCCATCTCGACCCTTCCTCCCCATTAACCCTTTTACTCCCATGAGTGACCAACATAGAATTTCTCCTCAAAATATAAATGAAACATCAAGCAGACAAGTAACGAGAATACAGAATAGTATCAATTAGGGGATCACTAAGTGATCCAATACCTTATTCTCCAAACTAACATCATATAACTTACATCGTAGACAATAAGGAGAATAACTAATTGGTATTTGGGAGTGAAAGGGTTGACGCCACTTCCTCCCGGTGCCGCTGCGACCGTTCTGTCAGTAAAGCTTCGAGTGTAGCAATTTTCTTTACCTCTATTCGAGGAGATACTCCATCAGCTAAAAGACTTGAGTTTCAAAGTAATTTAACATCGTGGTCCATACGACAAGAGAACTTATTTACCTCACTTCATCGTTTTGCTCATTGCATCTTTCCTCTGTAGTATCCAGTGCAATTTTCTTTAATAAACTTTCTTTCTTCAACGACCGAATTTCTTCCTCCATCTTAGCTGTTTTGTTCTCCATGTAGGCTTTCCATGTCAGTGGCATCGAGTATGGGAAAGGTATTCGTTGCTGATCCAGTAAACTACGTCAAATTCAAGAGAGTAGCATTAGGAATCCGAAACTACTTTGGACTTTCTTGTTCGTGAAAGCCTTTTAAATGATTTTCGAAACTTTAACAATCTTCTACACAATCATCCTTGGCCGTGGTACTATTATATTTTCCATTTATAACCTTATTATTCGAGGGGCCGTTATTTCTAAAATGCTTACTTGCTCACAAGCTGATGCTGTGTCTGAAGAACATCAATGTATTCCTCAGCTTCCTGTAGCCTCTTCCTTAACCTCCTGTTTCAGTAAACAAAATGCGCCCTTTAGAACTGAAACAATAGAAGTCACGAGGGGAGAGGAGAAGCTAAGAAATGAATCTTTTTGTTGGAGCTGCCCAATAAATAAAGGAGATTTTCTTCCCACCAAAATTCTCAAGAAATTCAGAGAAATTCTTGATCATGAAGAGCAATATTGAGGGTAAATATGATTAAGAATAATGTTTGAGAAAGTAATCTAAAAGAAGAACAGAGTGTTTTGAAGAACAGACAATAAATATATCATCCTATAAGCCTAGTTAGTATCTGCCGAAAACGCTTCGAAGACGGCACTTTGGGTTACAAGGATAGCGAAAAGCATGAAGGCTATTCAGTTAAACTAGAAGCATCTGGATAACAATTATCTTCCATTCGTTTAACCGTGGAGGTAGAGAACAGTGGGCTCAATCGCCATCCTTAACACCGCAGTTACAAGAGAACCGGACCGAACGGACGCCTCACTACCGGCGTACACAGAAAGCCTACGCTTCGAATGTAAATTCTTACTTCCTCTTGCAAAGAGTAAGAAATATCAAGAAACGGACCACTCACTGCGAGACGGGCCACCAAGTTAAAATTCACTGTGGTTTTACAACAACAAGCTATAGGCGCTGTTTTCAAGTCGTAGACTACGTTAAGATTGCATTAAGTATTGAGTACTGCTTAAAGACGCTGTTGACCCGGCTCAATAAGACGGAGTGGTGCACAGAATTCCTTCTGAGTGAGGTAAAGTTTACATTGGGGAAACTGGCAAACCTATGCTGGAGAGAATCAATAGGCATGACTGAGATATCCAACTCACTAGGGCACATGAATAAAGGGTGTAAGTTTCTAAAGAAACTGTGGTGCTGTGTCGGTGGGAGAGTGTAACAAGGTGCTTTAGTGTTATCAAATGAGTTGAAAACATAAATTGGCCACCGTTAAGAGTTTAAAGGCTGATGTTTCGAGCGTTAGCCCTTCGTCAGAGCTCTGACGAAGGGCCAACACTCGAAAACGTCAGCCTTTAAACTCTTAACGGTGGTCAATTTACGTTTTCATCTCATTAGGACATAGACCTCTGCCGCGATTTTCAGAACACAATTACATCAACGGACACCGGCCGTCTGTTGTGGGAAGAAGCGAGATTTTGTTCGTGATCGCCACAGTTACACTCTAAAGGTAAAATAGGCGACCTACGGAAGGCTTTACCAACAACACCAACAAGGACAGTGGGATAAAAATCCCACAAGCATGGATGCTGACGATCGAGAAACAGAACATCAAGAGAGCCGTGCAACAGCAGGCCGCTATGGAAATACGTCTGCTAAGTGCGCCAATCATACACAGACTGCGAGCAGTCCTTTCATTTTGGGTAAAGTCTGTCGCGGGAGTCCAAAAAGAAAATCAGTGAATACAGTTCCAGCAGCGCATCGACATCAATTTTTTTCGCTGATATTTTTGGACTCGCGCGACGGACTTCGCCGAATAGAAGAGACTGCTCGTATAGTCTACGCCAGTCACGATTGTTGAATTTCAAGATAATTTGGTTTTATCAAATGATTTGATAATGAATTTCAGCCAATCACAGCTAAGCGTAATGGTCCAGAAGGTGACGCATGTACAGTTTAAACTTTGAAAGGGTATTGCCTGTAGCCGAAAATCAAAGTTTTAGTTTTGAGAACACATTATTTACCGTAAACTGCATTTGAGAACCTTTCAGCAGTAATAATGCTATGCCTAAAAGGTTGTGGGGTTTCAGTGCTGCTATCATATTAAGACGTTCTTCAATTTACAGAGGGAATGAATTGCTTTCGACTCTTCACTACTTGCGCAGTTTTCCTCCCATCTTTTAGACGACTTTCTTGAAGAAACATCCCATCATAATCATACTTGCACGAAATGGAAGATATGATACAGAAAAATACTATCTGATCAAGAGCACATCACCTGAACATGGTTGCTTGATCTGATACTAACATGAACGCCGATAGAATTGCTGTCATGACAGTTATATCAAAATTCATTGTTTTGCGTCTTTTTGCCAAAAAGACACAAAACAATGAATTTTGATACGGACTGAAAAAAGTCCCTTACAAAAATAAACTCACCTTTTATAATCAGCTCTCTCCTTTCTTCTCGAGTGAAAGGAACTCCAAGCGTGTCCCATTTTAGCCGTTCCAACGAAAAAAAATTAGTGCCTTAATGAAACAAACAGATGCGCTTTCCTTTCTCTAATTGTAGGAAACAACTTTGCTTTGTGACGAAACAAAACGAGGCTATCGCGCGTGCTGTAAGTAGCCAATCAGATTCGTCACTTCAACGGCGCGCTCAGAAACGAGAACACAAATATAGGAAGAAAACTTCCCCAACCAATGAGAAGGAAAGGGATGATCACGGGGATGAGTCATTCTTGTGACATGGATAACAGCGTCTCCTTTCCTTTTGAAAATTTAATTCGTAACCTGAGCTGTTTCTCCTGTGGGGGAGGGACTAAAACGTTTACAAGGGAAAGTAATTGGTCCCAATATGTTATCTTGAATCAAAATAATTCTTCAATTCACTGCATTCTCAGTAATGTCAAAATTGGATGAGGTCGAACCGACCACCGAAATCAGTATGCTAAAATTTACGAATCCAATTATTTCACATAATCAGGATATTTGGAGGCACAAATTCCGCAGAAACCCTTTTCAGATCTGAAGCTCTACTGCTCAGGCTCTCGCAATGTATCGACTGTTTCTCAGTTCAAAAAACCCTGTAGGCTCCAAACAAATTGTTCTAAATTTACTATTTCCTCTATTTCGGCTACTGTCTACTTTCTGAGCATTTCAGGAGACCCCGTTTACCATACATGCTGCTTCGACGGAATAATTTTCCTCTATGGACAATCCTCAGTCCTCAGCCGGCGGACAATTACTCACTGCGTTATGTGCGTGACAAGGCTAGAGGATCACGCATTCTGCTTTGGTCACGCTACGTTGCTTTGATTTTGCGACAAACCTTGTGGTTTCCGCTCTGTTTGTCTTGTTCACCTTTGGTGGGCTGTCGAAGTTATCGTCGATTGTGTTTGATAATTTTCACCTATTGTCTGCGTGCAGTGTACTGTACAGTGTGTACTGCACGGGACGTAACGAACGTTTGTGTCTTTTTTATTAATTTTTCGACGAAAGAGAAATGCTCTTTTAGTGCATTACATAGCAAGACAACAAAACACCCTTGGTGCTCGGCCGGTAAGCATGCTTACTTTTGTATGTTTTTCTCTGAGATGTTTACATTGAACGGATTGATTTATGGGAACTTGTTATTACTTGACAACGACTTTCAATCAAATAATGTGGTTAGACTGCATCAATTTATTGTGTCGACAATGAGTTTGTGGACAATTTTCGAATACTCAAGTGACTCTGCCTAATGTTTACACACAGTAAGCTTCACTAGAATTAAACGCAAATAAAGCTCTCGAATCCATTTCTTTGATATTGGAATGTCATAAATGTTAAGCCATTGCAATTTTTGATCCCGATTTGTTTTATCGCTCAATAACATTATATAATTTGTGCGTTATCCTCAGTGCGACCATCTTTAGACTTTCTCTGTGATCTTCTGCGTTGTTTCGTTAATGTCGGTGATACTTAGTGAACACTTAATCGTTTTCGCTTTTGAAAACACGTCATAAACCATGGGCTATTAGCAGTGACAACATTTATACTATTTATTGTTATTTTATATTACCGTAGTAAAAATTTAACGCGTTTGCTTATAGTCCTAAGGGTATGATGGTATGTCTTTGAGAACCTTTCAACGCAATGAGATCAGTTACAAAGAACCATGTTAGAATTTGCTTTTGTCCTCTGGTCATAAATGATCAAGGCAATGTGCTCGCTTTACGATGAATTCCGTTGTGGAATTGAGCAATTGAAGTCAGGTTTATTTGAAAATTTCATTTCACCGATACAAGTACATGTCGGAACTGTTACGAGTACCTTATAGTTTTTTATATCTACCGCCAATTGAAGATAAAATCTTCAAAATTTTATGCATGCGTGAAACTTGACCCAATTGCGGCAAATCGTTCGAATGTTAAATTTATGCTTTGGTGCTTTGTACGATAAGGATATCAATGGTGTGATCGCCAACAGTTTTCCTTCCTTATTATCGTTTCGTATCTTGTAATGAGGCAATGTGGTGTTTAGAAAACTTGTAATCGATTGTGATGATTTAGTGAGTGTACCATTCAGCAACACATACTGTATGAAAATTAGCACCTTTAACTATCAAGTGACATCATATTAAATTGGGCTGTTTAGATAACGAAGCTTTTGCGCATATTGTAACCCAGATTTGTGGGTCAAAATTGGTTAATTTCCTTGTCTCCAGTCTAGTAGTGCTCTGGCAATATATTCTTAAGTACTCTTGAATGTAATTGTTTTGATACTTCGGTCTCTCAAATCTTTCTTTTCCAGTCAAGCACTGTGATCCTATCAGACCTCTTGATAACTCAAACCAGATGCTTCAGACTGAAATCGGGAGATATATTATCTCGTGTAACACTGCAAGTTTAAAGAGATAATTTTAATTCTTTCTTATTATGCAAAGTGAGCATGGATTCCGTTCAATGGTTTCTCTGATCAAACGGAGCAAACCTGTGTGCGTGTTATGGTGACTGTTGTGATACACATACAACGCTTTCAGCACACCAATTGG